TTCACCGTGTTAGCCAGGATGGTCTCGATCTCCTGACCTCGTGATCTGCCCGTCTCGGCCTCCCAAAGTGCTGGGATTACAGGCTTGAGCCACCGCACCGGCCCAAATATTTCATGTGAGAAGGAAAGAGGAGAGACGGTAAATTAGGGCGCTGTGGATTCTCCCATAACAAGGTTTTTATTAAGTACACAGTAATGAGAGAAGCTGTTAATCATCAATTATATTGAGGGCAGAGCAGAAAGATGCTATTGTCCGTATCTCGGTGTACAAGGGGAAAATGTCATTTGTATTGATTTTACAAAGCTCGTAATTGAAATTCGTTAAGGGCTGACTTTTTTCTCTGGGGGGTGGGAGCGGGTAGGAAGTTGGGCAGCTCCTGTGCCCTGGGTCTGGGGTGGCCTAGTCAGTGGCACTCAGGGTCAGGGACAGGGGGCTGGGGAAGCTTCGGCTGGAGGCTGGAGTAGCCTTCTCCGTATTGTGGCTGTTCACATGTCATTATCACATTATCTTTTTAACTCTGGAGGGGGGCTAATTAAGTGAAGTAAATGAAATCAGTGGGGAGGAGAAGGGGGGCAAGGCAGGCCGGAGGGAAGCCGAGGGAGGCCGGGAAGGAGCCAGCGCACGTCCTTGTGCTCAGCTTCTTTCTCTCTCTCCTCTGTGGCCTCAGACTTCTCCAGCTGCTCTCCTGCCTCAGCTCTCCTCCCAGCCCTGCCCGCCTCACCTCTGCCTGCCGCCGCCTTGCTCCTCCTCCTTGCCTTCCTTTCCTCCTCCCTCTCTCCCTTTCCTCCTCCATCTCGCCCTTTCCTCCTCCCTCTCGCCCTTTCCTCCTCCCTTTCGCCCTTTCCTCCTCCCTCTCGCCCTTTCCTCCTCCCTCTCACCCTTTCCTCCTCCCTCTCCCTTTCCTCTTCCTTCCCCTCTTCCCTGCCTTGCCCTTCCCTCTTTGCCCATTCTCCTCCCCTTCCCTACTCTCTCCTCCTGTCTCCCTTCCTCCTCCACTTTCTGGCCCAGAAGGAACAAGGGCTGCCACCCACTTGCCCAACCTGCCCACCCACCATCTGAAACATTCCAGATGGA